TTTACTGGTCATGTTGTAAATATGGGTATTATGTTAGCTAGCTAATGTTGAAAATTATTGTAATGTCTTGTATGTTTGACACTGAGTTCACTAATGAAAAAGTTTCTGAATATTTTCTGTTTTCAAACTTATGTGCACGTGTATGAATGTTAATATTGGAAACAGTTTGTCTTTGAAATTGACATTATTGTTAGACAAATTATGTACTTCCTACTAAAGTGTCATGTTTGGAAGAAGGCTAATATAGTAGTACATGGAAGGGACTATGTCAAATATGTGATGTACAATCGCCATGACTCTTATTAGTTCTTGTTCTTAATTATGACTTATGATATTATAAATGTATGATACATTTATTCTTATTAATGCGCATTATGATTAATATTTTATCAAACTATGATGTTGTATTTTGTCACATGAACCAAGTGGGAGAATATGTAAGAAATTAATGTCTCATGTGTGTGACAAATGAAAGGATATAACTTTTGGGGATATATTATTCAATTATTTTGAATGAAAGGGTATGACTTTTGGGAAGGAGTTATTATGTTTTATTGAAGGGGTATATTATTTGACGGAAACAATATATATATAATGGAAGGACATGAATAGTCTCTATCTCTGCCTATGAAAGTTTGTCTCTTAAAATTACCATCAAGAAATAAAGAGTATAAAGAAAAGATAAAGAGAAAGAGATAAAAAAGATTCTTCTTACAAATTCTACAAGATTCAAAGTCATCAATCTCATCATGGATCAAGGTTAGTGTTTCTATCTAATCTTATATGTGAAAACTATGAATTCTAAGATCCTATTTGATCATTCAAATATTATGTGAAATTTACAATGTTGACATGGTAGTATTTGACAGGTTGACCCATTTCTGCATGACATGCTTTCTAAGGACCGTGGACTTATTGAGTACACTGACATTGGAGGGCTTTCAAAACAGATTGAATAGGTCAAGTTATATATTGAACGGCCTTTAGTGGATCCTGAGATTTTTCGCATTGTTGGAGTCAAAACCCCCAAGGTATGGATCCGCTTCTCCAAACATATTAGAGAAATCAACAGATAATTCAGTTTTTTCTGTTAGTCGTTAGCAACTAAAGACTAGTCTTTTGTTTCTCAGAGTGTTCTTCTTCATGGACCTCCCGGAACTGGGAAGACATTCCTAGCAAAAGCAATAGCCAGCAATATAAATGCTAATTTCTTGCAGGTTCTGATATGTTGTTTATGTTGTGTAACAAGTGCCTAATGGATTTTTTTTTTGAAATTAACTAAACTTTAAAAAATTCACTTGTAAGATTAAATTAGTCTTATAATCCACCTTCCTAAGATTTTATTGTTATTAAATTTATCATGCTGCCTATTATTGAATCATCTTTTAAAAGTTAATTCTCGTAAACTTTATATTAAAATGTTTAATCTTCATTATGAGGTGTTTGAAAAATTTTATATATATCAATTAATGATAGGAACAAAATAAAGCATATAGAAGTAAAATCAATCATTATTCTAAGATCAAATAATAATCTACTTTGTTAAGAATAAACTAATAAAAAAAATATACTTTTTAATTTTTATTTCAGATTGTATCTAGTGCTCTAGTACAAAGTCATCTTGGTGAAAGCGCAAGAAGAATTAGGGATATATTTAGATATGCCCACGATCATCAGGTATTGAGAACTTCCATTGCAGCAAACGAGTTTTTTTTTCTTTTCAATAACTAAGTAGTCGTTTCCATGATTTTGTATAGCCTTGCATCATATTCATGGATGAGATCGATGCCATTGGTGGACAACGTTTGGGTGAGGGTACAAGTGCTGATCGTGAAATTCAAAGAACCCTCATGGAGCTGCTCAACCAGCTGATGGATTTGATAAGCTTGGACAGGTGATTTCCATTTCTATAAGTTCATTGTAATTTGTGCTGACACTTTGTCAGAAAATTGACTACACATAGATAATAGTTTAGACATATGTAATGGTTGTATGTTGGATCCAGGTCAAAATAATAATGGCTACAAATAGGCTTGATGTTCTTGATCCAGCCCTAACTCGCCCGGGTCGAAAAAGATTGAAATTTCATTACTAAATGAATGGTCAAGAATTGAAATACTTAAAATCCATGCTCTTCCACTGGTCAAATGCAGGAAATTAACTTTGAAGCGGTTGCTAAGCTTTCTAGGTATATATATAAAGGATACCTATATATATGCATGTTGAAATTGTTTCTCATGTTTTTCTTTTCTTGATTCTTAATTGTATATATTGGTTTCAGGAGTTCAATGGTGCTGATCTTCGTAATGTTTGCACTGAAGCAGCTATGTTTGCTATCCGTGAAGAACGTGATTGTGTGATTCATGTAGATTTCATGAAGGTAATAATGTGTTTTCATTTGATAACGGAATTTATTAATTCAATGACTTTTTGTCTCTCAGCTCAAGTTGGTTTTCTCATTCTTGTATAAGAAATTAATAAATTGTTGATTGTCTTTGTGATTCTTCAAGCTGTGCGCAAAGTGAATAAAGCAAAAAAGTGGAATCAAGCGCCCATTACAAGAAATATTAAAATAGTTTATGCATGAAATATACCATTTTCATTCTTTTGCCTCTAAAACTAATACACATTCTTAATCAGTTTTCATTAGCTTATATAACAGTTTTCTCACATATATTAGATTTTCTTTTCCTTTTATAAATTTGAAGACAAAGGAAGAACTTAACAGTTAATCTGACTGGCTTGTTTGCATAATTTTCTTCCAACCGCAACTTCAAATTCTCGTTCCCAATGCATATTTGGTGCATGTATTTTAGTTATCCTTTGTGGTGAACGAAATACAACAATCAGGCTTATTGGCAGGTTTGTGAAAGATTGTGATCAAATCAACATTTCCACATTGCATGTTAATAGCTCAAAACATCTTGGTAAAAAATTAAAGAATATGTAGATTGAATTTAAAGTACCGTATGTACTAGTGTTTACGATAATTAATTTATACATAATAACTCAATTATTAAACTAAATTATTTTGATCGTTACCATTTACTTTAAATTAATTTATTCTAAAGCAGGTTCACTTTGACAGCATCACTAACTTAGAGAAAAAGATCATATTACAATAGTATGTAATTCTAACTCCTTCGACATGTTTGAAAATGAGTGGAACACGTTACTTTCTCCAATACTTCTAGTTAGAGTTTTCAAATTTTCTTAGAGTTTATTTTGAATTTGAACTTGTTATAAGGTAAATAGTTCATGACCATCCAATGGATAAATTAATAAATGGCAGATAATATTGTAAATTAAGTTGGTTATCTATTAGGAATAAGCTTAAATACAATTTTTTTGAGTAAGAATGATGTTTTCTAATTAGAGTTGAAATTTTGTTTTGATAAAATGCATTTACATTTAATGAAAAATTCATTAATATTCATTTAATTTACATATACTATTGAAGTTAAATTTTGATTATAATTAAAGAGTAATATTGATCACACCTAATTTTTTTTTTAGACAATTAAAACTATAAGTCATATGTATTTATTGAAAAATTCTTTGACTTTTGATGAATATCATAAAATATAACTATTACCGCTACTATATATAATTTTATAGATATTTTTTGAATAAAAATTTGAATTATGACATTATTAATTACAATTAACTAATTTAATTACTTTCATTTGATGAATTAGGTATTTACTTCTTAAATATGGGATCAAATGTTGCATTATTTTAGAAATTTGAAACTGGTATGGTCCTAAGTTTGAGTTCTAAGTTTGAGTTCTATAGGAATTATTAATCAGAAACATATATATGAAACTAGTACACAATGTTATGATACCTTAAATTTAGTCTACGTTTTTTGTAATTTTTTTCGTAGATGCTTTGAGCTATTAACATATAATGGGAAACATTGATTTGATCACAATCTTTCACTAACCTCCCAATAAGTCTGAATATTGTTGTATTTCGTTCACCGCAAAGGGTAACTAAAATACATTCACCAAATGTGCAAGGGAACGAAAATTTGACGTTGCGGTTGAAAGCAATTTATGCAAACAAGCTAATCAGATTAACAGTAAAGTTCTTCGTCTTCAAATTTAAAAATGGAAAAGAAAATGTAATGTATGTGAGAAAACTGCTATACAAGCCAATGAAAACTGTTTAAGAATGTGTATCAGAGGGCAAAGAATGAAAAGGGTGTAGTTCATGCATAAACTATTTTAATATTTTCTGTAATAGGCGCTTGATTCCACTTTCTTTACTTCATTCACTTTGCGCACGGTCTAAAATCACAAAGACAATTAACAATTTATTAATTTCTTATACAACAATGAGAAAAACCAACTTGAACTATGAGACGTCAAAAATTAATCATTAAATTAATAAATTTCGTTATCAAATGGATCAAACACATTATTACCTTCATGAAATCTACATAAATCACATAATCACGCCCTACACACATAGCAAACATAGCAACTTCAGTATATACATTACGAAAATTAGCACCATTGAACCCCTGAAATGAAATCAATACAACCAGGAAAAGAATATTAAGTAATTTAAATATGGGCTTTTTGACCGTAATAAATAAAAATAAATTAAAAATTACTAAAATAAATTAAAAAAAGAATTATTTACTAAAATAAATTATTTTTGACACGTAGGAAAGAGGTAAGTAAGAAGAAAACGTCAGGAAGAGCGACGTTTAGTATGTATAACACAACTCGTCACCTAAGTTGACGCCATGCATGAAAAAAAATACGAAATGTAAAACGTCAATTTCTTTGACGTTTTGTACTATAAAGTAAAAAGTAATAAAAAATAATAAAAATGAAAAGAACTCTGTACCAAAATACATGCATGTCACGAATCAAAAGTAATAAAAATAATAAAAGTGAAAAGAAGTCTGTACCAAAGTACATGCATGTGACGAGAAGAATGATATATATTCAAATTTGAATAACGCATTATATTATAAAAAGGCTCCTGTGCGTCCGGGGCTGCATGCCTTCGATGCGTCTAATCAACTATATTACGTTGTGCAGGGTGTAGAAAATGTCCGCATTTGAAAATCTACGTTTTGTAAACATTTTAATTTTTAAATAAGTCCAAAACGTGAAGATTGGTGACGTTTTTCACTTTTGGGTTCCAGCTCTAAAAATATTAATAATTTAAAACGTTTCCAAATTTTTTTTTGCAGGCCTCAAAACGTCGAGATGAGTGACGTTTTATAAGCTTCCAAAAATTCCACTGTGCCTGACGTTTTCCTTGATTCTCCTTTGTTCCGCCCGTGATTGTCCGGCCTCGTCACAAAGCCTGTGATGGTCGCATCTCCTCCGGCAGGCTCTCAAGCAGGCTTCCGTGAAGGTCTGTTGTAATAGTGTCACTGGCTATAAATTTGGGAAGTGAGTGAGTGAGTTAGTGAGTGCATGAGTGAATGTGAAAAAAAAGAAGAGAAGTGGAAAAAAGAAAGAAAAGCTTAAACAGCCGTGAGTGAAGAAGAAAGTTTAGTGAGTGAGGAAGAAAGAAAATAAGAGGATATTTACTTACGATTCACCATTATAAAGGTATGTTTAAATATAAGTTTAAATCATTTTAAAATAAAATTTGAAAATATTGAAGGTGATGGAAATTTTGAAAGTTTAGGGTTAAATCAATTTTGTTGGATAAATTTTTAGCATTATTCTTTTTTTTCTTAAAATTATTTATTTTCCAAACCAATTTGATATTTTTACATTCAGTATATTTGCATGTTCCATGTGATGAAGGCTTAAAAAAGGTTACCGGTAATTAATTAATTTTATGGTTGTCATATATAATTTTAACAAAATTTACGTCTTATATATGTTAAAGAAACCGGAAAAAATGTAGTTATTAAATTAATAATAAAACAAGTTAGACGTTAATATTAAAATGATGAGGGTGGTGGAATTATGTTTAAATTGGAAGGTTGTCTATCCATGTTAGACGGTAATAATGTAATATTAATATTAGTAATTTTTTTGTGTAGTTTTAGGTTTTAGAATTATTTAAATGAAAATTTTATTTATGATGTTTATGGTTTTTGTTTTGTTTTAGAGAAGGAGAAGGAGATTGTTGTAAAAGGTATGTTTTTATTGTAAAGTTTAGAAATAATAATATTTAGTTAATTTCATGTACATTTATAGGTTTAAAAATTATATACGTGAAAAATTTGTTGATGATAAAAACTTGTTGGAGTTTTCATTTTTTAAATGTTTAGAAATATAATGGTGAATAATTTTGATGTAGCATGATTTTTTTTTGTTGATGTTGATGTTGAGAAATAATTTATTTTTATGTAGAAATTAAATTTGTTAAGTGTTATAAAATTTAATTTATATGAAATAAGTGTTTTTGTTTATTAATTTGATGTTTAATTATTTATTTATTTATATGGTTTTAATTATATAATTTTCATGTAGTAATATAAGATTATTTTGTTTAGGGTTTAATTGATTATTGGTTATTTAGGGGGCTTAAATATTTATTATTTATTATTTAAATTTATACGTGCATTTCTTGATTGTGTATAATTTTAGAATGCCTCGTCAAAGAGTTAATCCGGGACCCATTGATGATTCTTTGTTGACTATGCAATCAATTCATGTCTCGGAGCACATATGGAATGGTGAGCCAGATAGAGTTCTTCGTATTAGAAGAGCTACCAAAAGCAGCCATCGAGATGGGTCAATTCCTGACGAAGTTAGACCGTATCTTGCACAAGCAGGGATGCTGGGAGTGGTTGAATTGTCATATTTTCCTATTGACCACCAGTTAATTTCAGCATTAGTTGAGCGGTGGAGACCGGAAACACACACTTTCCATATGACATTTGGAGAATGTACAATTACATTGGAAGATGTTTCCGTTTTGCTTGGTCTAAAAGTATATGGAGACCCAATTACTGGTTGTTCGACATATAGATGGGTCACACTTGTTGAAGATTTGTTTGGAATTACACCACCACCAAATGCAATTAAAGGTGGAAGGCTAAAGATGAGTTGGGTTGATCAACATTTTTTTGATGTTTCCATGCATGTGCACAGTGTGCAACAAATGGAACGATATGCCCGAGCTTATATCTTGCGATTACTTGGGGGTATGCTTTTATCAGACAAGTCTTCAACTCTAGTGCCGATGCGGTATTTGGTCATGTTGACAAATTTAGACCAATGTGGCCAACTTAGTTGGAGATCAGCCTTACTTGCTCATTTATATAGAGAACCGTGTGTTGCCACTAATTATGACAATAAAGAAATTAGTGGGGCATGCGTTTTACTACAATTGTGGGCATGGTATCGGATGCCGTATTTTGCACCCCTGACGGCACCACTAAATATTTTTGGCATTCCTTTAGGTGCAAGGTAATATTTTAAATTAAATTGCCTAAATATTAGATTTAACATTAGACAAGTAATTAATATGTTAATTTTTCATATTTTCAGGTGGAATAGTGTGTTGCAAGTGACACAAAGAACTCTTGCTCAAATTCGTGATGCTTTAGATAAAATGAAGGATAATGATGTACGTTGATGGTTTTTTTTATTACAATTTTTAAGTAGATATTTTGAAATTAGTATTAAGTTAAGACTTTTTATTTTTTTGTGCAGTTTGTTTGGCAACCATACCTTCAATATTTTCATTCTCTACCACCATATTGTGTAGAAAACACAAATATTTGGAGGGCGGTAGTGCCATTAATAGACTTTCATATTATTGAGTATCACCATGCTGATCGTGTGATGCGCCAATTTGACATGGTACAACACATTCCTCGTCCTCCACGTCAACCTGATAATTTGCATGATCTAACTTTACGTGGCAAAGATGATATTGATTGGCGAGTTCAACACGCTGTCTTTATTTACACGGATTGTTTTCGTGTTACCTGTAAAAATGCAACCTTGATCATTGTTAATTCTACTACCATTATAATAGAGTAAACAAATGAAAGACATCTTGAGAATGAAAGTAGCTTTACGATACACGAAAGCAATAACAAAAGTATTAAGAGATGAGATAGAGATATGAAGCAATGCAAGCAATGCAATAACAATGCAATGTTGAGATATATGAAAAATGAAACGCCTATACGCCTATACGCCTATAAATATAACATGTGATATGCAAATAACTTCATGGGAGCCATGATACTACATTCACAAGACGTACCAAAATGCTCACGCTCCTGAACTCTGAACTCAAGCATGCTCTGCAAGATGCTCACCTCGTGAATAAAGCATTCTGCTAAAGCAAAATACGATATGAAAGATGCTCCCATCCTGAATAAAGCATTCTGCCAAAACAAAATACGATATGAAAGATGCTCCCCTCGTAAATAAAGCATTCTGCCAAAGCAAAATATGTTGTGCAAGATGCTCACGGTGCTGCATAGTTGCTCTAATACCCAGAAGTGACTGAATAAACATGAGAAATTTGACCAAATTGGCCATTACAAAACGTCACAAAAGATGATGTTTATAGTACGCAACATTAAAACGCCATGCACCATGACATCTTATAAAAATGCCAGAAAAAAAAATCAAAAAAAAATTTAAAAAACATCATGCATTATGACGTTTTTGTTACAATTTTGCAAACAAAAACACGTCCCATATCATGACGTTTTCTACCATTCTTTATTTTATTATTTTTACCAAAATGTATAAAAAATGTTACAAACATATACGTTTCTAAATCAATATTTTCAATTAAAATAGTTAATACTGTACGTAAATTTGCAATCCAATAAAATTTGCGTGAAAAAGAATTAACATATTATTATTTTAAAAATATAGCTTTTAAAATATGATTATAAACCAACCAACCAAACCATTACCTATCAGGCAAGAATAAAAAATATTTTAATATAATTTTTAAAATATAATTATAAAATAAATATTATATACGCAGTTTATTATCCAATTATTGTGCTTCTAATACACAATGGTCCATGGTACATAAATCGTCAATGATTTTGACGTTTTTACTTATTTTTATCTCTATAAAGAATAACGTCAGTTATTATGACGTATTTTCTATTTTCTCTCTCTTATACGTAAAACGTCAGATATTATAGCGTTTTCTTCATTTTCTCTTTCCTGTGTCAAAAATAATTTATTTCGGTAAATAGTTTTTTAAAAAAATTATTTCAGTAATTTTTATTTTATTTTTATTTATTGTGGCCAAAATGCCTTAAATATGCATATATTCCTCTTGATATATATAAACAATGTTTTTAATTTCAAAAGTTTACATAATCATGTTGAAATTTTATAAACTCAAATAATAAATTCGTAAGAGTTTATTTAATGTAAAAAATATGTTATAATATTTATAAATAGTATAATAACAATATTTCAATTTCATATTAAAGTAAAATAGTAATATTTAATGATAAATCATGCAAAATTTTACACAAAATACATGTTCTTAAAATAAAAAATAATTAAAAAATTGAAAACGGCCAATTTTTTGTTTTTAACGATATATAGAGGGGATTTACTATCAAATTGTATAAATAAAAATGACCTATCTCATAAACTTGATAATTATTACGAATTAGTGCTCGATATTAAAAATAATGTATAATATATGTCCGTGCAAGAACAATCCTTTCCAAGCGGCAAAAATTTTCTGACTGAGAATGACAATGAATTTATTAATTACTATATGTCCGTGTTTCTTTACCGAATCAAATGTAGAAAACTTCTTTAAAGAAAAACAAAAGAAGGTGATTTGTGAAGAGTAAAAGGTTTGAAATGTGAAAGAAAAAGAAAAAGAAAAGAAAGAAACACAAATACGAGTTCGTAACGAATGTCCTTAAAATGGAGACGCTTCTTGCGATACTCGGCCACCGCAGCAGAACGACGTCGTACAGATTCCTCTGACATCTCATAGCAATAAGTGTGAAAAGTGAAGCATTGCATTGAAAGAGAGACACAAATATGAACAAAAGAGAGAGGAAACTTTCAAAGGAAAAAAGAATTATATTCTACTTCTTGATTTGTATTAATTACGAGATATTTATATGAATAACAATGATAAGATTTTGATCTTATATATCTTCACTGATCGACAAGATAATAAAATATAAAAGATAAAACAAATAACTAATTAATTAAAATATAAAAGATAACACAAAAAATAAAATAAAATAAATAATAACTAATTAATCAATCAATGGATCAACTAACAATAACGGAAAACTGATACACTCTCTTCATCTTCGCCAAAACATTATTTAAAGAACTTCCCTTGCCACCTCATCCTCAACAAAGTTACGGTAATATAATAGATGTATTATTTTTGTTGTTAAAGTTTATTTTTTCTAATTGTTTTTACAATGATAAATTAATAATGATAAGAGATTAAAAAATCTATTTTTGGAATTGCATTTTATGGAGGCTAATCTTGTGTGCTAAATTTGACTCTATCCATGAAAAATATAAGGGATCAAAAAAATTTCTTATTTAATTTTAACTACTTTTTAATATTTGAGGGATTTGGAAGAGAGATTGAAAATTTTAAAATATTTTTAGTACAATATTAAAAATGTCTTTATTTATATTTTTAAATGTAAAGTTATAACAATATAAAAATAAATTGATTTTAAAATTTTTTCTCCTTGAACCAAATAAAAAAAGTTATCCCTCTTTCCC